GGCAATGACATTTGGTTCAGAGGAATCGAGGACTCTCAGGCTCACTAGGGTCCAGACTGAACCTAGTCATGCGGTGATTCATTCTAACATTCACGCGTGAGCATGGCGACCGATTTACCAGTCCATCTTCACTTCCTTACTCGGCCGGTCGGCGTCAATTAATGCCAGGTTCGTTCATTCTCCAAAGCTCACTCGATCGACGGTCAAGGTCATAGGAGTCTCGGGGGTATGTCCCCCCACACACAGTCGAACCCTACTGGGTAACTCTATCAAGAAGTAGTTTTGCTTGTCTATGGAGAAATCAGTTCATTTCGACTGGACGGGTTTTAATAGAACCGGTCCAATGGTTGACGTCCATCACGATGAGACTGCACCTTGAAGTGGTGTGATGACTTGCGTGCCTCAGTGAACCTACGGGCTATACAGGATGGCTCCTCACAGCCGCAGATCCAATCATGCCTCAAAGGTCAATGGGTAGAAGCCAGACAAAGCTCAGTCTCTCAAGGTCAGTTGCTTGGGCACCTGCTAGCTTCCTTTGACTATTCAATCTCGCCCCTGGCCACTCCGGCAAATAAACGCCGTGAGGGGGGGGGGGGGNCAGCCCCCAGCCAATAACTTGCTGTCCCATTCACATTCTGCTTGTCTCATTGGGTGCTTGAGTCTAAGTGTCAATCACGAACAGCGGACAGATAATTAACGTACCAGCGAACAATACACTAAACCGAAACCCTAAGGTCTTGCTTGCAAGGTCTCTAGAAGTTCTCACACGGATGCTTCGATCATGCTCCCGCGTTGGATGTACACCCCACTACTTTGTGGGTTAAACCTAGCAAGCGGGTATGAAGACCCTAACCAGGATACTCGGTCACGTAGGTACCATTAGGCTCCCTCAGTGGGGGAATCAGAATCATAGTAATCAATAGTTCGAGATACAGTAATATGGCTGTGTCGCAAAACGGTGACGTTTGTGAATCTCAATTTCTTCGCAGCTTTAGTCCACTGAAATTCCCGATTTTCTCTCCGACTGTACTTCCAATTTTCTTGTCTTTCTCCTACTGCTTCATCCAGCAAAAGACAGCAACCAAAGCCGACTCATGAAAGTGCATGGATACTGGTAGTACAAGCTAAACTGAGCTGAGCGAGTGACGTGTGGCGGCAAAAGCATCAATCACTTTATGGCGTTCCCACTAGAATACGATTGCTGCGATTCACTTGAAGCTACACATAAAAAATAACTCCATACTGCATTGGTCGTCACGCAGGGTAATCAGAACCGCACTGCTCGTTGCATCGAGCGGGATGGGTAGTGATAAGTGGACTACTGCTCAGACACCCCAACCTTTGTTTAACTCTGTTATTTATCCTACCCTTTCCCTTTTCCCCTTTTTCCGACCCGTAAGATTTTCTCATACAATTTGTTCGTCACTTGCCTAAGTTCGTTGCCAAGTAGCGCGGTAAGCAGTTTACCACAAAATAGATAACAGATTCTGAAGCCTCTTCAATCACTGAATCCGGGGTCCTTCAACGTGACGACTGCTGCAGGTAGGTCAACAAGCCTGTCTGGTGCGTGCAATGGACTCTGGGGATTGATGTCTGCGACGTACCGGAGACGCGAATCTAGGATCCTAGTACTATAAGCCACTGAAGTGCACCGGAGTTTTCTTCTAGGTACTTCCTCCGCACACCGAAGCCCGTTCAGTAGACCAGCGTGATGTAGGCATTGTACTCAATAATACCGTCGAAACTGCACTACTCGATTGGATCCCCGTCAACAGTCTCTTATGTGCAATGTGGCTCCAAGGGTCTGTCAGCGTCCGGAAGGGAGGCAACACTAAATGGTGTTTGTTCATCATTTCAGCGTATGCACCGACCAACTGCAGCTCTGAAGCACAAAAGACGAGTTTTATGATAAACTCACCGAACTCATTCTGTTGAGCCGGAGCTCCGATATCGTTGTTCTCGCAGGTGATTTTAACGCTTAAGTGTGAAAACTGAGCTCGTCTGAAGCTTGCCTAGGTAGTCATTGTGCTCTGCCCTGCCAACGAACAGATAATGGCGGTCAACTTCTTTAGTTCTGCGCAGATTATCGTCTGTTCCTATCCATTACCAACTTCCGACACAGCTCTCAACGGACAACAACGCGGCCCTCCAATTCAACTGGTGCGCTAACTCAGATCGGCCATATAGCAGTAAGCTGCCGTTGGCTTGACTCAGTACAAAACTGTAGGTCCCATTGGACTACCTTCGTTGAGTCTGATCATGCGTTAGTTTTGATGCAGGTCACTCTCCTACTCACTGCTCGCAGAAAAGCCCACCAAACTCGATTGGCAGATCATCGTTTATCCGACCCAGCCGTTCATATCCGATTTGAGTTGAAACTATGACAAGATCCAAATGCGCTTCAAATCAGACGAGCAATGCACTCCGCAACGAAGCGATCTGAAGCGGTAGCCCGTTTGAGGCATTGAATATCCGATGCGTCTGTAGCACTGATGGAGAAAAGGCGGTAAATGTTGACCCCCAGGACCATAGCAGGGGTAGGTGGCGTCTACAACGTAAGCTCACGAAGGGCCTCAAGAAAGACCGTGAGAACTGGTGGGCAACAGTAGATAGTCAAAAGCTGTTCCAGCTGATACGCAACACGAGAGGTCGGCGAACCACAGTTAGTGAAACAATCTGCGACAAAAGTAGACAAGCTATTCCCCATGGAGAACAACGGCTTGACCGGTCGGCGGAGTACTTCAACAAACAGTTCAGCTGGTCGGGCGCTAACCAGACTATATCGTCCATTGCACCTGAGGCTCTGTGGGCAGTGTCACGTTAACCTCCTACTGAAGTAGAAGTACGATTTTCCATCCAAACCCTGAAGAAAGGAAAAGCAGCAGAACCGGACGGGCCTCCCACTCGTTTTAAGATTGGAGGGTGGGCGATGACCTCGTAGACTCCATTCCAGATTTAATGCGTAACATCTGGTCACAAAAGCGCATCCTGTCATCCTGGAGAGAATCACTGGTTGCTCCAATTTTAAGAAGGGATCTCGCAACGATTGCGCAAAACACCGGGGAATAAGTTTGATACCAATCGTCACCAAAGTGTTAGCCTCCGTCATACTTCGACTTCTGACATCGTTTAGGGAGGCAAATATCGCCGAACAACAAGCAGGATTTCAACCAGAACGCGGTTGTATCGATAAAATCTTCATACTGTTTCAAGTCCTCAAGCTGCGCCATACACACCGTCGACCAGAAGTTGTTATGTTCCTTGACGTAAAAGGAGCCCTCGACTCAGTTGACTGCGAATCTCTTATGGTTCGTTGCTTCACAAAGGACTGCCGCAGAAGTAGGTGAGCATACTGAATTCACTGTACTCGCATACTTCTGGTAGTGTAACGATCTACGGCGAGCGGAATCGGTCGTTCGTAACTGGCAGCGTTGTTCATCAAGGGTGCTCTCTGTTGCCATAGACGAAATACTGGAGAACGCACTAAGTGGCCTCTAAAATGTTGATGTTGAATGGATAGGTGGAGAAAAGCTGTGTGATTTAGAGTACGCTGATGACATTGTTTGCTAGTTCGAATGTACGGCGAATGCAAAAAGAGCACTTGATAGATTCGGCATGCGCTATGCACCTTCAAATTGCAAAGTAATGCTGCAAGACTAAGTGTCGTCGAGTTCTGCTCTGAAACTAGACGGTCAGGAATAAGGTGCTTCTCCTACTTGGGTAGCTGCGTAACTAATGACGGTAGCGCATCAAAGGAGATGACCACCGGCGTTTTCAAGGCTCGAAGACTATATGCAGGACTTAATCACCTGTAGCGACGACGTGACGTTTCACTGAAACTGAAAAGTCGCGTATACTGCTCCACTGCACGATCGGTTTCGCTTTACGGTTGTGAAACCTTAAATTTGCGAGTAAAAGACATCCGTCGTTAAGCAGATTTCGACAATCGATGCTTAGGTAGTCTGGCCCAGGTGAGATGAACTGAGCGGGTTAGTAACCTAGACGTAAGTCGTCGGGTGTTTGGGAATGCATCGAACACGAACTCGCTGTCGCATCGAATCCAGCTCAATAGGTTCTGTTGGTAAGGACACGTTTTGCATACGCCGACGGTCGCCTACTGCACGGAGCTTTATTTGCAGTGCCTGCTGCAAATGAGAGAAAGCCGCGTGGAGACGAGTTAAGAAAAAATGCACGGACCGATTAAGTAGAGTAGATTTCTCTCTTCTTCGGGTTGGGGGTCAAAAATTTCCATAACCGCATGGTTAGAGACACTGGAGGCCGACATTAGTAGCGATCTTGCTGTCACTCCTTATCAGACTAGAATACTTGAAATAGTATGCCTAATTGAACCGTGCTCTGTGTGTTGACCATGTAGATTTGATTTCTTTTCCTGTCCCTATCCTCACATATCCTGACTTACCTTGTATGCAAAAATAAGTTTGGCAGCGATCAGTAAAGCTCGCTTCACTGTATTACGCTGTGCAATGATGATGATGAAAGCGGTTAGTTTTGACCCTGCCCAACGAATGACACAATTCTAGTTCCTAACTTGAGTACGGAACTCTGAAATGATTTTGGGAAATGGATTTCGAACGTGCATATCTGTTAGATCCAAACGCAATTATTCAATTGAACATTCCTGAATAATGTGTATAGCTTCCCTAGTTTAGCATTACCAGTTAGATTGTACTGTTTTTATACTTTGCCTAAAACAATGATCATAATCGCTAAGAATATTGTCGTCGACGGACACGGAATTTGTGTTCAATCATTTGAAGAGCTCCATACCTCAGATATTGCGTTCGTCCGGTGTTACGCATCGTAAAAACGGCATGCAAATCACCCCCAAAAAATGACACACTTGCTTTTTAATCAATTTTTCAGCAAATTTGCACTCCAGGTGTTTGTTGTATCAAGTCCATATCATAGTCGACTTTTCGCAAATGAAATCATCCGATCGACCTTTTACAATACCAAGTTCATCCTTAATTCGTTTTTAGTCTGAAAAGCCAGTGGCGTATCAACTTGAACTTAAATTGCCTTATGAAGTGGATGACTCAAAAGGAGTTGCGAAATTCGACAAAAGTACATGCACACTAGTCGTTACGGCTCCTTTAATGCAAAAACGCGATCCGAGTAGCACCGAAACAAATCCACCAACCGTTCAGCCATTGATCACTCCGATTTCAGTGGAAACATCATCCACAGGGGACGACTCTCATACCAGTCCCGGTAATTCAACTACAACTTGTGAGTTACAAACCAGAAAAAAGCGCCGGAAAAGAAATCGCCGTCGCCAGTCGTCCGCAAGCGATACGGCGAACGAAGGTGATGCTGCCAAGCCCACTATTATGGGGGAGTCAGCTGACCAGAAAACTGAACCAGTGCTAGTTGCACCAGTTGTACACCATGACCAGCTGGAATCGGAATGTTCGCGGTTAGACGAACCATCGGATACTGTGCCACGTTCCGAGACAATCGAAGAATCAACTGAAACGGAGCATCTCGTTGCCTCGACGGAACCGAGTTTCACGATTCCAATCACACACGTGGGACTACAACAACTAACTGTGTGCAAGGATCGGTAAGTGTAATTCCATGCACCCTGTCTCACGCTTTCGTTTTGAATGCCCTTGACATATGTGAACTTATTTCTCTTATCTGGAACTTATTTCCGTTCAAGCTGACCGACAAGAAAGAAATATCAGCACTTATCCACAAGGTCTTAATGACCTTCGCTATCCTACGTCACTTGTTGGATCGGGTTAGAACCTATAACCAACTTTCACCACCCTTCACCGTCTTCAGTGGAGTTCGGTAAGGCTGCCCTATATTCCCATTTCTTTTCAACTTCTAGCAAACGGTGAAGTCGAATTCCTCCCAGGAAACGGAGTCCTTGACTTGAAATATGCCTTGCTGGGTGACAATAAACAGGCAGTCCAACCACTTGGCGATTGAGGTATCCAGGTATGGTATGTGCTTTGCACCTTCCAAATGCAAAGTGTTTGTTCAAGACTGGCAGGAGCCTGTGCTTGCACTCACCCTCTGTGGTGATCAGCTGGAAGTAGTTGAGATCTTTAAGTACCTCGAGAGCTTGATCGGAGCTGGTGGGGGTGTTGGGGACGAGATCACATCACGAATGGCGAAAGCTAGAGCAGCTTTCCCCAACCTGCGACACATGTGGCGCCGCCATAACATCTGACTCTCCCTTAAGGGAAGGGTGTACACCGCCGCGGTTCGTAGCGTTCTTTACGGTTGCGAGACCTGGCCCCTCCGCGTTGAGGATGCTAATAGATTATCTTTGTTTTACCACCGAAGCATTGCTCGTGCCTGGTGGGAACACCGGATGAGTAATAAGGTTCGTCGTCGTGTTTTGGGTGTAAATAGTCGTTCTCCAATGTTATGTCTTGTGTCAAGACGATGTGATCGATATGTACGCCTCTTTGTCTAGGCCCCAACAACTGG